CTAGGATTTTTTGTTCACAAAACCAGCATTTTTCAATGAGCAGGAAAGCACCTAGCAGCAGAGGAAAACATTACACAGCATAGGACTGTCTCCACATATACCCTGTCTTTCTTTCCAATGGAAACTCCAAGTGGCTTCCATCATTCTCCTCTACTCCATTTTATTTTCACAACAACTCTTTGAAGCAGGTTAGGCTGAGTGTGTGCAACTGGCCCAAGGTCACCCAGTAAGCTTCCATGGCAGACTGGGGCTTAGAACCTGCGGCTTCCCACACCTAGTTCAGTACTCCAACCACTGGACTACACTGGCCCTCTAGCAAATAGACAAAGAGGGCCACAACTGGAAATATGGCTTATGATCCAAGGCAATAGCATGGAGTTATATCTTATGATTCTCTAATGCAATTCTGTACAATCTGAAGCCCATGAAGCAGAATATAGTCCAACAGCGTGTTAAAATCCACCACTACGTCTCTATCCATTCCAATAATGTGCATTAACAGCATTAAAAACAGCAAAGCCGTTAAACTCCTTTTAGCTGTCCTGTTCTAAGGCAATACAGCAGTGTTGCTCTTAAAGCCTTTAGTGAAAACCCTTTCAAAAAAACCTTCTGCTGTCGTTTCAGTTTCCATACAGTTTAGCTTGCTGTTTATCCTAAATACATGTGAATAAGAAAAATGAAGTATTTATTCATGACAGCAAATATTTACTAATTCAAACATTTAGATATATAATAACATACAAAATATTTATGGCTGTAAAAATATAGATCTGAATGTTAAACAGTTGTCAGTATATCTTATTTGGCCAACATTTCAGGTTATTGTGTTATAATATTGTGATCATTTTTGGTTTTGTGGTTTAGATTTTTATTATTTTTTTCCTGGGCTTTTTCCTTCATCATAGAAGTAGAAGTTGTAAATGTGCACAGCTCAAGGATTAACTACCCAGCTCCTTCCTTCAGTCATATAGCACAACAGCACACTATGTGACTGAAGAATAATGCTATTCAGCTTCTCTGTAATGCATTTTTAAATAAAGGAGAGAGGTTAAAAGAAGCATTTCCTGAGAATATAATCAGAGTTGAGAAGAAAATCCCTCAACTATATTCTGAAAAAGTTATTTTGACAAAAACTAAGTTGTGTATTTTCAAATACATGTGACTCCACACATTGTGATACTGTTAGTATAAATATGTCTGAAGCGTCATTCAAACAATGCACCATTCTGAATTCAACAGGGCAATACAAACATTTTCTTAAACAACATCATGGCCTCATGCTCCATAATTTAGTGGAGTGCTTAGTTACCTGACAATGGTGTTCACATTTTTCTCCTCTCCATCCTGGAGCACAAGTACAAGTTCCATCCAGAGTGTTGCAAGCTCCTCCATTAAGGCACTGGCAAGTTAGATTACAACCAAGACCCCATGTTCCACTAGGGCAGCTTATAGAGCAATCCACTCCATGCCAACCTGTCACAATAAAAACAAAATATCTGCTTTCAGTAAAGAGACACAATTTTGAAATCTCTTTTGGATGAAAAGCAGCAGGGACAATGCTTAATTAAGTGTAAGTTAGTGACTGCCAGGGGCATTGCCACATGCGTATTATATTCTCAGTGCATCTCTGGGCCAGAAGATTTAAATTATCCAACAAAATGTCATCCATATTTCATCCTGGATTCTAAATTCCGGTAGCTATCACACTACCAGTCCTTTATTTACACCCAGGTAGACAGAGATTTAATTCCAATCTGTTTATTACAGTCAGAGACCCAACAAATAACAAAATATCATACTAATTTGAGATGCAACCAAATATAACCAAATGTAGCTAAATAACAAAATATACAGTTCAAAACAGACACAGCCTAAAACCTGGGTATACAAATTCCAATACTGATTCTAAGATTTTAGACTTAAAATTGGTAGAAGATTAAATATTTTTGTTTAGCAACTCTTTCCGGTGTTTTGTAGCTTGAAAAGTAAATGTCACCACTTTTAGATAAATTTCCTGATCCCTATAGGCTAAAAGCTTATCTAAGTAAAATCTGGTATCCCTCCCTGGGAACTGGCTACAGATCGGAGATATATAGACCATTTGAATATTCTGACAAAGTTTACACTCAAAAAGTACATGTTCCCTTGGCTCTTACTCTCCCTGCAGATGCACAGTCTTTCATCGTATGGGCGCTTTTTGTATATGCCTTGTGTAACTGCTGAGGACAGCATATCCACTCTCATAAGAGTAAATGCTCTTCTATAGTCAGCTTTATTGAGATACTGTAGGTATGACATCATTACAACTTGGGTTAATTTTTCCTTGCCTGGAAGATAGCCTTTAATCTGAGCTGTCTCTCAATATCCAATATTCTTTGTTTTAAAAATGGTTTAACAGAGCTATAGTCCATCTGCATCAAGAACTGTTTAGAGAGACCATAAAAGTCCAATTTGAGCTCAGTTTCTTTAATCGAAAATGGTATTGTCGAGTCCCTCAAAATGACGCTTGCCAACCAGTGGATTTAAGATACTAATTTGTGCCTATACAAAATAATAGCAATCCATAGACGAGCCTTTAAAGTAACCATGCCAGTTTCCAAGCAAATCAAAGAATTAGAGACAGCTGGAGGGACCTGTAAAATATGTCTTAAAAACTTGGATTGGACTGTTTCTAAAGCCCGCCAGTGAGATTGGTGTGGGGTTATATTCAAAGGAGCCCCATACAATAACTGGGCAAGAGGTTTAGCCTTAAAGATCTTAACTGCTGCTGTTGTGTTCCAACCTCCCAGGGTCTAATAAAATTTCTCAATTGCACCTGTGCTTTTAGTTGCACTTGTAGTAATATAATCCATGTGCGCCTTCCTGGAACATGAGGATTGAAAAACTATTCCTAAATATTTAAAGCAGTGAACCTGCTCAATGTCTACTGAATAGGGGTGTGCATTCGGCTACAAATACCCGACAAATACCTTGTCAGTATTTTTCAGGTATCACATAAGCCAAATACAGATATGTATTCGGCTACTGGTATAGCTGAACCCGAAAAAGCTAATATTTTCCAGCTTTTTGGGGGTTCATTTTGCTATACCAAAAAAGGTCTCATTTATACTTAACAGCCTGAGCCGCCGGTCAGCAATTGGGTTTAAATGCCTTTCTTTCCCTCCCCGAGATCAGCAGTTCAGGTGTTCCCACAAATTGTTTATAAAAAGGTTAAATAAAAAGTTTGCCAATATACAATCCTGCTTAACACCTTTTCCGGCCTTTATGGTTTCTGTAAGATGGCCTTGAAAGTCTGTCCGACCCTGGATTTTAGTATTCCCATATAAGGCCTTCATTAAAACTGAAAATCTCTCATCACTACCCATATCCCTCAATTTAGCCCATAAAAGTGCCCCAGTGTACCAACTCAAAGGCCAATCTGAAATCTATGGGTAGACGGAGCTTTAAGAGGATCTATCTTCAGTCACATGTTCAGACGATGCCACTCTCTTTTTATTTAATTAGGGTTTAGCAGCCTACTACCTATCCCATCTTTGCACTAGATTAACCTTAGAATGGGTTGAGCATTCAGCCAGACTTGGGATATACCACGAGAAGGTGATGAGCCAGTGAAAATTCTAAGTGTCCCAAACACCTTGAAGATTTATTTACATTAAACTGCCCTGATTCTTCTTTTGATCTGCCAATAAATCTCTCTTTTTCTTCTTACTTATTTGTGATGAGTAGTCTGAGAGAAGAGTCTTCAGGGTGTGGGGGGGTTGTATTGCCTGCAGTTGTTCAAGTCTACTGTGTGGCACAGAGCGGAAGCCTGATTAAGTGGGATCCCTCTTGTGCAAAACTCAGAAATGGAGGAAAGCCAAGGTGTTCCCCTCTTATAAATTAAAACCTTGATGGTGGCAGCTAGGTTTACCATTCATGAAGCCTGAAGGGGTTGTGAGGGGATGTTAAAGATGTTAAGGTGAGCTCTTCATGGCAACCCCTGAGAGGAGATGCTGTGCAGCAGGATACACCCAGCAGAGGAGGTAGCTAATTTGGAAGAATTCAGATTGTTCTTTGAAAACAAAGTCTCATTTGTGTCTCAGGGCAAATCCAGGTGTGATGCAGGAGATCCCTCACTGGATCTCCTAATTAAAAAAACTACAACTTTAAAACCATTGCAGAATGTCTGAATATGATCCGAGTAGACGTGCAGGGATAGGGCATTTAACTCTTGCCTTCCCTGACCTGAGATTCAGCCCCTGCCTCCAAAGTTCCTATTGGCCACTGGGGGGAAAAACCCAATTACAACAAAGTCAATCAAATTAAGAACATCTTCCATCCAAAGAAAACAAAGAATGAGCAACTGGCAAATCTGCTAAAACAAGGGACTATCAGAAGAATGTTCATGGAATTCTATTCATCTTTTGTGTAATTTTTTAATCCTGCTCTTCCTCCTATGACGTCAGGGCAGAGTATATCATTTTCCCCTTGAATTTTACCTTCATAACAACCCTGTGAGGTAAGTTAACCTGAGAGAGAGTGACTGGCTCAAGGATATTCACTGCCAGTCTTCACAGCCAACTGGAGACTTGAACCTGGGGATACTTGATCCGGTGTGCTAACAACTACATCATACCAGCTCTTAGTAAAGGTGGCAACCTAAAGTCAGTCAAGATGGCAATCTGGAGTCAGAAAAAACTCCTTCCATATTAAAAGACAAGAACCCTTGAAATCGGGAGATAACACATCTGCCAGAATTACCATTCTGAGATAAGACATTACTTCTGGATTATTTGAAAGTATTATTTGTGTAAGCAGTTAGCAAACATGTGACTTAAATGTTTTAGAGAGGGAGGAGTGGCCATGGAAAATTAATATGATTAAGACAATTAGCCAGTGTTGTCTCTTATGTTGACTAGGTCATGAACGCAGGGTAGAAATTTTGGAATAAAATGAAACACAATAGGGACAGGGCTGTTTAAGTCTGGATCTGCTGCAAACACATAGAACTATTTGGGGTTTGACAGGAGGTCCAATGTTAATTGCAACCATCCCACATGGCTTTTGTCCATGCACAACTCATGATTCCTAGCATAGTCTGGGTTGTTGTTGTTTTTTTGTATTTAGAGGGGACCCCTGCTTCCTTTTTCACCAGCAGAAAAGCTAGTTGGATCCAGCCCATACTTTGTATTTAAGTTTAACAAAATGTGAGCTGCAGTCACCTGTGATCATCAACACTAACACAAGCTGGGTTTCTAATTTTATACTTTGTTTACAGCTAGGAGAAAATAACTGCACTCAATCTAATCAATAAGTCATTCAAAACATACATGTTGTGATGAACCTGTCTCATGAGTCTGTTTTGAGTTTCCAGCTACAAAATTAGATGCTTCAGTTACAATGAGTATGGTTGAAGCATGCCGTCATGTACTTTCACAACAAAATTTTAAAAGGACTAGATCTACTGATCATTAAAATGATTTCAATTTTATATAACATTCCCATTTACTTTATGCTAGGCTAGAAGTTTAGAAGTTCTATGAACTAAAAATAAGGATTCAATTTTCCTAGCAATATATGAATAACAGCACAACAGAGTTATATACCCTCCTAAGTCCTAGAAGTCAATGGACTGCTTAGGATGGCACAATATACAGTGTATTTTATTCTTGCGTCCTTTTTGCAGTCTTATGACTGTAGCATAATTAGAGCAGTCTTATGACCTGTAGCATAATTAGAACAGGTTTCTGGGTTTTTGAGAAGCGCTCAGTTAAAAGAGCTGAGATGACATACATATGAAGTAAGAAGTCTTGTCTGATTTTACAAACAGAAACGGCCAGTAGGACTGCCACACTAATATTTGGCAAGTCATTAGCCTATGATTACCCCATGCCTCTTTAAAAACTTGATTCTGCATTTTTTAAGTTCATATGAACCCTATTTTATAAGACATAAATTATTTATCTTACCTGCTTTGCAAGTACAAGAGCCATCCACTGAGGAGCAGATGGCCTCGTTTTTGCAGCTGCATGTAGAAGAACATTTTACTCCGTATGTTCCAAGAGGGCATGGAATAGAACAATCAGAACCCTAAAACATGGGGGGGGGGAATAAACAAAAGTATCGAATTGAGGGAAGAAGAATTATTTTGTTTGGTCTTCTTGTTTGCTTCCTGATTTCTAGGAAATGTCTGAATGAATTATATATTTATTAAAATGAATAGATATCTAATGCTGCAGTCTTGTACAAACTCACCTGTAAGTAAACCCCAGTGATTACTATGGGACTTTTTTTTGAGTAGACATACAGAGGACTGTGCTACGATTCTTGATTCATATGTTACACTTTTTCCTACATCTATACGATTTCCATATATGAGATTATCTGACAGATAAAATTGCAAAATGCAAAAGAGAGGTCCTCCTCCCCGACTTACACAGAAAAACAATCCAGAATCAAGTCTCTCCAACCGAAAGGACTAGAGGACTACAGAAGGACTAGAGATTGCAGCGGAGCCAGAGCTGCTGCTGCTGTTGCTGCAAGAGGAGCAGCAGGTGCAGCCAGGGTCCCCCCCCCCCGATTTCCCCACACTCCAGCAAACAAAATTTTCTGGGTACGCCGCTGTTATCTGTATCTGTGGAGGGTTTATTTGATGAACCCACTGTGGAAAACGATACACTTTCTGCTGGGAAAATGTTCTGTATTCAAGAATTACAGATGTTGCTAATGTTTTCCCTAACACAAATAAGTTGGATATAGTTAATATATGCATCGAAACTGCCATATTATCATTTATTTTATATCAGTTGCTATGAGGGATCAGATACCTTTGAATACCTTTTATTTATTCTAAAGAGAAGCAATTTAAAGCGATAGACTGGACAATGTAATTTTAATTTAAATAAAAACAATTGGCCAAGGACAATTGCAAAAAAGTATAATTCATCAGATCTTTTCAACAACAAACAGTATCATCTCCCGGAGGGGGGGAACTATTTATTAATAGTGAGTATAATGCAACACTATCACTTTAATCCCTAGATCAGTACTGCATCTGCTGTTCTTCGTGTTTTTCTTCCAGCACAGTCAATATTTATACCTCACTGGAAGTTTTCCATTCTCCTCTGCTGGGTATGTGATTCTACTAGATCCATTTAGCCTCTAGATATAACCTTTAAAATGTTTCCTTAATTAATTTACCTGATTACATCTTTATTAGTATTAGTACAATGAGGCTACTCTGGGTCTAACATTGTTGAAAGAGCTAATAAGGATCAGAATTATTTACCTTAAAACCTGGAGCACAGATACATTTTCCAGTCACACTATCACAGTCAGCACCATTTTGGCAAGTGCAAATTTGTTGACAAGATTCACCATAGAATCCTGGGGAACATGTCTCATTACAGTTCAGTCCAGACCAGCCCGGTTGGCAGGAGCATTCTCCAGACATAGGGTGACAGCTGCCACAAAGGAATGAAAGGAATAAAACATTTGGAGCTAAACATGATACCAAGAGGCCAATGCAGAAAAACAGTATTATAGACATGCGTAAAAGAATTTTGCATAGAAGCTTTTTTTAAAAAAAATAAATCCATATTTGGGAGTGAGGGAACATAGGAGCACATGCTGTATTTTCCCACTACTCTTTAGTAATGTAATTCAGAAACTTGAATTCCATTCCTTAAATAATGTTTCCTTTTTCTTTAGGAATTTAAAATAAATAATCATGTTTTGGGGAAGCTTTGAGTTCAAGTTCATAATACTTTGTGAAATATATCCTCCTTCCTGATTCTTTAACAGCACTTTGAAATCTACATGTTCTCAAATTAAAACTGTTTAAGACTGAAACTGATTTCTTTCCTAGAAGTGATGGCAAATCACTTTCACATGAAAAGATGCCAGGGGCACTTACCACCTTTGTGAATGTGCATAGCCTGTATGAAAATACCTGGGGACAGACCAGCTGTCTACCTGAAAACAGCAGCTCCATTCAATGGCCAGCCACACAGCTGTTGTCTTGTAACAAATGGACATCATCAGCTGTGCTAAGATATATGGCTGCAGAAAATGGACACAATAGGGTGCTCTGTGGTGTTCTGGCAGACAAAGCACTTAGCGTAACTCTCACCAAAGGGAAGCCTTAATATCCAGATCAATTATGTTTACAATAGGCAGCCTGTTTAAAGATGGACTCTGGTCGCTGATTGAAGTCATACCCCCTACGGCATTCTAGAAAAAGTGAATCCAAGTCCGGACACATTAAATGACCTATGGCTGAAGGCTACATTTCTTCCGTGATTTTTAAAAAATTCTCTCTGTGAGACTCCCTTCTTATTTATGTCAACTTGATTTCCTCAAAGTCTGCTATTATTAAATTGCAGACACATGCAATTTTACACTATTGAGAAAATTTAAAAATACACATAGTGTGCTCATGTATATTTTAATATGTGAGAAGCAGTAACAGCAGGAACTTTCTCTAGCTGTTGGGTCCTTGATTCATACTCCTGAAACATCTGGGAAGGCAGAGACCAAAAGACAGAGAAGTATGTCTTGGAACAGCTCTATTACAAATCAAAAGAAAAGCTCACAATAAATTAAGACTGCTCTCAAGTACTCGAACCTCAGTCTTTTACTTTTTATATCTAACTGTAATTCTTTTTTCACTATGGTTATCCAATCCTTGAACTAGAATTTCTTCAACTGTAACAGTTCACTGAGGAACAAAGTTTGAGTCCAGTGGCACCTTTAAGACTAACAAATTTTAATTCTGGATAAAAGCTTTCATGTGCATGCACACTTCTTCAGATACATTGAAACAGACTTTGCCAACCATTATATATAGGTAGAGAGGGAAGGGGGTTAGTTGCCAGGAAGGGCTAATTGGAGTCAAGATGCATAAATAACTGAGTGATAAGTATAGCTAAAATTAGATTAAAGGTAAGACCTATGAATAGCAGCAAATTAGCATACAGATAATAAAAGGGTTAACAAATGGATGTGAGAGCTGAGTGACTTAGCATGTGTAGTGAGATAAGAACCCAATATCTCTGTTAAGCCCTGGGAGTTCCATTGCCCTAGGTGTTGTAATAATTTGTAATTCAGCAATCTCTTATTCTAGTCTGTTTCTGAAATTCCTTTGCAATAAAACAGCTATTGAATGATTTGTGTGGCTGAATGGTATAGCAGTCAAGCTCCAGTAGCTAATAAGATATTTAAAAACAGACTAAATGAACTCCTAAGCAGAGTTATGTTCTTCTAAATCCACTAGTCAGGGTATTAGAAGGGTATAGGATTGCACAGTAAAAGACATCAAAATCCTGACACAGGCATACTTAGCACCTCTTTGTATTACTTGATTAAATGTAGTCATGACTACAATATTTAACAAACCAAATGCCATTTTTAAGGAGGTCTTGAAGCCCACATTTCCATAAAATGCTCTCTGTGATTTGTAGATGGTTATTATATTTAATCTAGGATCTTGTATTTGTTGAGAGATTGCAGTGAAGGAATTTACCCCACTAAACTGTTGAGCTTAATATGATCTCCTTGCATTTCTTGACATGGGAACAGGATAGAGCTCACATGGCTGAGTCTCACTTCCACTTAAGAGATGATCCTCAGCAATATTTGCAGTGAGATCCCCCCCCAAAAAAAAATTAGGCTAAAGGAGGCGACAAACCACTTGTTTTCTTTCAGTTCTGTCACCTACAGAGTGAGGGCCTGTATCTATCCTTTGCTCTCATGCTATGAAGGCTCCATGGCTGCATGATGGCATAACACATGCAATGTTCTTTCTCCCTATTAGGCGGGATTCCCACCACCTTTGGGGGGATGAAAAGAGAAGCTGGATTTTCACATACGTAGAAATTTACTTAGGTTTACAGAGTGCTTTCTTGTTTGTGGTGGCCCCATTTTTTCCAGCTTTAGTGACTGGCATGTGACACCTACTTTGTTTTTAGAAGAATGATAATTCAGTGTCACAGAAAGAATGTTGAGTTTTGTAATGATGCATACTTTATGCTACCAAGATGGAGGGGGGGATTTTAATCCCTGCTTTGTGCTTAGTTTCTCTTTTTTCATAGCAAGGGAACACACATACAGTGGAGCTGAAGCCCAATGGCAACACTGATATTTTGCAACCCTGTTCTGCTGCCACAGTGATGCTGAGGAATGCACATTTGCACATATAGTGATTGGCACCCAAATTACTATTCCATAATTTGTAATTAAATATAGGAAGCAGAAGTACTTTGGAAGCTTTTGATGGTTCTTATGTAGTCAGATTAATTGGCAATGAATAGCTAAAGCTGGTATTAAGGAATGCTACATGTACTTCCCTCTTTTTAAATTCACATTTTTCGGGAATATTATCCAAGGACATCAAAACAGTATCGAAATGTACAATAAATCAATATATCCCAGACAATGGCAAAACTGCAGCGGCATTAAGTCAGACATCCGGATACAAAAATGCAAGCCTGCCTATATGTCAGATAGTCTCAATGTGTGGGACAAAGAGAGTAGGAGTTCACACTCCTATCCTGCTCCTCACTTCACCATAGCCCCTAAAGTTCCCCATCTCCTCAGATCAGGAAAGGAAACGTTTAACAGGTGGGCAATGCCCCACTTCCTTCAAATGACAGATGGAGAGCAGAGTTTCCCTTCCTTGTTCTGCCTCTTCACCCCACCTGTTTGAAGCAAGCCCTAGACCAGATGCCCAGTGAAGGTACACAGCATCCCAGTCATGTTATTTATTTATTTATTTATTGCATGATGTTGCTGTTCAATCCACCAGCAATTCCTCTGGCTGGTGTTTCCCCCCCTTCCTCAACTATCTATTTATTGATTGATTGCAATTTCTTAACCACCCTTCCCCGCTTACGCAGGGCTCAGGGCGGTTTACAACAACACAAAATCTAATACAATTTTAAAACCAGTTAAAGCTACAAAAATTCAATATTAAAACATTCAGCATAAATATTTAAACAGATGGCATATTTAGCATTCAGATTTTTTGGGGGGGGAAGGGTGTCGGGCAGATGTATCACCGGGAATTCTATGGTTTGGGCTTATATTTATCAGTCAAAGTTCTCACAACTTGGCTGGTATCTGATGCAAACAAATGGAACTATAGGCCTTACACCCTAGAATACTAAACAAACTGGCTGAAATTATAGCTGAGTCTAGAATAATAATTTCTGAGATAAATATAATGAACGTAAGAAGAGCCCTGCTGGCGCATCCAGAGAAACAGATGGCTTTAATATTCTTGGATGCTGAAAAAGCATTTGACAATGTCAACTGGCAATTTATTATCCAACAGATGAAAATAATGAAGTTTGGGACCAACTTTACAAGGGCTATTGAAGCTATATATACAAAGCAGAAAGTGAAAATAGTAGTAAATAATGAATTGACAAAGAATATGGATTGAAAATTCAATATGGATTGAAAAGGGGACAAGACAAAGTTGTCCAATATCTCCACTGTTGTTTATATTAACATTGGAAGTGTTGACAAGAACTATTAGGGAAGACTCCTGCATTAAAGGGACATCAATAAGAGGAAATAAATATAAATTACAAGCCTTTGCTGACAATTTGGTATTTATCTTAGAAGACCCAATAGATTTGATACAACAACTAATGAATCAGATTAATGACTATGGGGAAATGGCAGGAATGAAAATAAATTATCAGAAGACAAAAATGATTACGAAAAACATGACATCGAAATAGAGATGTGAAATAGCAGAACTAACTGGATTTCAACTGGAAAAGAAAGTCAAATACTTGGGTATTAATATTACAGCAAAATGTAGCTCTCTGATGAAAGACAACTATAATAAAATATTACAATACATTAAAAAAGACTTAGAGAAAAGGATAAAGCTCCAAGTATCATTAATGGGTAGAATAGCAATCTTGAAAATGAATATTCTACCGCGTTTAATGTTCTTGTTCCAGACCTTGCCAATATATATTAAACAAAACTTTTTTGATGAATTAAATAAACTGACACAACATTTTATATGGCAAGGGAAAAAAACAAGAATTAAAGTGAAAGCCTTGCATGATGCAAAAGATAATGCTGAATTTAGAGTACGAGACTGGAAGAATTACTATAGGGCAGCAAATTTAGTTTTGCTGAGAGAATGGATCTTATTTGAAGACTATAGGCTGCTGACTTTAGAAGGACATGATTTAAAACTGGGATGGCACGAGTTCTTATGGTATGGGGAAGCTTCTGGACACAAATATTTCAAAAATCATATGATAAGAAGATCATTATTGACAACCTCGGAAAAGATCCGTCTGATAATATATACTAAAATTCCAAGATGGGTATCTCCAGTGGAAGCCTTTTCTCAACCAGTATTGACTTCAAAGCAAACAGTTATCAGATACGCAGAATTGCTAGACAATAGAAACAATCTAAAGTCTCAGGAAGAATTAAAGAAAAATGTAGGCTATAACATAGATTTGTCACAATTGAGTAAAATATGGAATGTGAATATCAAGTTGACCAAATCGGTTGCATTTAAAGAAAATTTGTATAAAATGTTCTATAGATGGCATCCAATCCCAGATAGGTTAGCTAAAATGTATAAAAACTTGAGTAACAAATGTTGGAAATGTAATAATCATGTTGGATCATACTATCATATGTGGTGGACATGTAAAAAGGTTCATAAATACTGGATTGGAGTACATACTTTCTTACAATCAGTGTTGAATATTAACAATAGTTTTTAAACCAGAAGTATTCTTGTTAAACTGTCTACCAGATGACTTAGATAAGAACCATAGATATTTTATTTTACATGTTATAACAGCAGCCAGAATCTTATTCACAACGACATGGAGGACATTGAAAATCCCAAAGCTTAATGATAATGAAGATTGTGGAATGTGCTGAAATGGACAGATTGACAAAAATACTAAAAGGAAAAATGGAAGAAGAATTTTGGGAGTATGGAGGGTGTTTTATAACTGGTTAAAACATAAGTACTAAGAAACTAAGACTAAATGAAGAACAATAAGAAAGATGGTTATAATAGTTGTGAAACTTTCAGGAGAGGTTTTGCATGCAGAATGCTAATTTGGAATTTTTATACAACTCTGTACTCTTCCCCCCCTTCTTTTCCCTTTCCCCCTTTCTATATATAAACTAATAAAACTCTATTTAAAAAAAGAAAAGAAGAGCCCTGCTGCATCAGATCAATGGTCCATCTAGTCACTGTTTCACAGTGGCCAACTTGTTGTCCCAGGGGACCAACAACAGGGCATAGAGGCTAACAGCTTCCCCTGATGTTACCTCAGCACTGGATTTCAGAATTTTTCTTGGATGTAGATAAGAAAAACAATCAATGGTACAATTAATTCTTGGAGAATATCTAGGTCTATTCACTAGCTGCTAGCTATGTCATTTCTGACAAGGCTTAGACACAATATTGATTTGAATATCCATGCAGATTCCTACTGGAAGAGGTAGCCATTAAAGTATTCTGGCCCCAGGCCATTCACAGCTTTAAAAACCACTTTGAACTGGATCCAGAAATAACCAGGCAGTCAATGCAGAACTGTATGTTCTGTATAACTGGGAAAATGCTGAGAGACATTCCTCCTTCACCAGGTCCATTGGCTTTTGAGGGTGTAGTGAAAAAGAGTTCACTGACAACAAAACTATGGTTTCAAATAGTGACTCCCACATGGTAACTCCAGTGCCAGCTGATCATATGGATGCATGTTCTGATGTTTTTGGTACAAAGGATTACTGAATCATTGTAAGAAAAGTGAAAAAGTGAGGAATACCTGAATCAACAATGAAAATTTCCATTAAATAGATGTTAATGCTTTAAAAAAAAAAAGGATAGCCGAAAATACAATTTAGATATGTCCAGGCATGTCTTAAATATATTGCTTTCATTTTTATTTCCCTCTGTTCTAAACTGCTTACTGTTATACACTAACCTATGAAGTAAAACTACAGAGATGCTAAACCCATTTAATTTGTCACAGAGAGGGGAAATGTTGAAAACATATTCAAAAATAAACATATGCTTCTGTTTACATCTGAACATTTGCATTTTGACTTGACCACAAGCTGTCTTCCAATGGTAAAAATGAAGAAACAGCTGTGTCAAGCATAGATCAAACATAATCCTTGAAATATCAGAAATGCTATATAATGTAGTTCAATACATTCTCATCAATACAGAATGTTTACAACAGACTTCAGATAACTTTCTGAAAGATCATAAAAATCTCAGTTCCTTTGAACAGAAACAAAGTACAAGGCGTTGGTAAAACTGTGGCGTCATCATTTATCTAATTGTGAACCCAGCTCCCTGTAGACAGAAAAACCCAGAAAATGGGGCCAGGTACACACATTACACATTTTTCTACAGAGCTGGGGGGATCCCCAGGTTTACAGAAAAATCTGAAAAACAAAGGAATTAAAATAAGAATTAAATATTTTGTTATATGACTGAGATCTTATGACATATCTTGGGCACCATTTTAAACAATGGAGGAGCAGCCCCAAAGGAGCAGGTGTCACCACGCCCCCCCCCCGCTGCATCAGCCAGCCAGTTGGAGCAAGGTAAGGGTGGGGGAGGAGTGGGAGCCACCACTCCTCCCCCACTATTGGTGTACAGGCAGGTGGGCAAGGAGGAGGAGGAACTTTCATTGTATGAATCAGCCAGCCAGATGGTGGTGTGGCTGGTAGGAAGACAGGTGAGTGGAAACCACAGCCACACCAGCAAGGCAGGGAGGTGGCAGCATGGAAGACAATTGGATTTCCCAACCGTCTAGCCATAATTCCAGCCCAAATCTAACACTTACTAAATACATATTAAGCCCACAATGGAATGGCTCCTATGACTCTCTCCTTGCTCCACTTGAAGTAATTTTTCTCTCCTGGAGCAATGCACCTCTTTCGGTGGAACAGTGTCATGGGATCCAACCCAGTATATTTCCACTACAGCATGTGGAAATGCAGTAGCCACATCAGTGAGCAACCATGTTAATGAAAATTAAAAAGGAATTCAGCCGGTCTAGAGATGCTCAAACACCTGCCACTTTGACTCACTTCCTATTTGCCAGTGGTGATTAGGCAGACAATAAATTGATGGGCTGTTTGGCTGTTTGCAAGTATTCGTGTGCATTCACAGAACAGACTACTTGCAGCCATCAGAAATAAACTCCCAGCTGATGAGGAATCAGTTGGGGGTCAGCTTCTGATTTCCCACTGAGGAAATTCTGCTTTGTACCCAGAAAAGAGGGGACAGAATCCAGTGCCAACTCCAGCTAATGGGCTAGAAATCAGATTCTTCTGACTCCCTATCCTGCTGTGATTTTCTGAGATGCAGCATATTTGGGGAGAGGGGTGACCAAAAACCCAGCTTATTTCACATAAGTTCTCCCTGCCCCAAGCTGTCATCTTGGGCTGCAAAGAAAAGGAGAGAAACCAGCTCTTTTTCCCTCTCCCTTTTGCAGTGCCTAGATCTGCCGAGCTTGGAGAACGAGAAAAGAAATGAGCTCTCTTTTGCAATTCAGAGACTACAATCATTGCTTCTGTCCCTGCCCAACTTGGACAAAAGGGAATCACAACATCAATCCCTTTTGCAACATCCCCATGTAGTTATTTTGCTGAGGGGGCAGAGTGGAGAAGAACCAGACTCCCAGTTGATTCTCCCCATGAGCTGTGAGTCAGCTACTGACAACTGCAGCTGCAAACTTGTTTGGTAGCTATGTGATTTGCTTGATGTAATCCAAAGATATCCCTTATCAGCTCTCAGGCTGATCATGAGTGTCAAACAAGGTAAGTTTGTCTGCCAAACAAGTTCCCTAAAGTCCAAAATACATGTTATGTTTAACACCTGTCAGGACACAGCTGCCTGGCTCACCTCATAGTCAATCATTAAAAATGGGACTAACATTTAAAAATGCCTTTGTTACCCTGCACAGCTCCAAATACTGTGAGGAGGAAGGAGGGGCTTCACGCTTGCCTCTTGTCCTACTTTCACCAATGGAAATGACTGTAGTGGGAGGGGCTGTTTGCCCCATCCTCTGGTTCCATGTGTCCATTCACAGGACATGTGGTGCCAGACAAAAGGGTAAACAGGCTGTTTCTACTGACAAAAACAGTGTGGGAGGGAAACATGAAGGCCCTCTTCAGTCTTGAAGCATTTGGGGCAATGAAGACAATGAAGAACATCATTCCCCTACTTATATCTTTCTAAAAATGATACCGCACAAAGTGGAGATGTTTCTCTATCATTTGGTGTTACTTTAGAATTTTAAAACAAATATTTTTTTTAATTTGGTGGAATAAATACACTGTATTAAAAAGTAACACATTATTCCACATAAGCACCTGGGAATGTGTCTCCAAGGATGTCTGTACAACATATATTACATATTAGTACCACTCCAGCAAGTCCTTTTGCATGCACAAATAGTGAAGGTTTTTGCTTTTTCTTTGAAACACTAGACTTTGTCTTCTGCCCTTTCAGAAACCATGAAAATATAAATGTTTCATCCATATATCTAACCTTTAATAGTAAACTGGCTGGTCCCTGTGTAGATGAGAAAGGAGACAGGGCCTTCCACAGACAAGGTAAAGCTCCTCACCTGCTTGAGGGTCTTCTCAAGTATGGTGAAAAATATGCAGATTTACAAAAGGGGGGGAAAGTCCCAAATCCAGGCTGCTCTGGAAGGAACTGAACATTGGCAGCAGCTGAGTGTCTCAGTTACCATTTCTTACAGATATAGAACCAAGGGTCCTTTTGGCCTGCAGGTAGCAGCTACTACGATTGCTTCTCAGGACTTGAAGATATAGACTTAATTTTAGCTTCTTCAAAATTCTTAGCCTTTTCACTCCTCCCTTTGCTTAACTATTGCTTTGCTTGTGAATGAGTTCATAACAAGAATGTCTGTCAAAAGTTCTAGAACTTTACCTGTCAGTATTTGGTAAGTGACAGGGACACTTTTTATCACATTTGATACCATAAACACCTTCACTGCATAGTCTTGTTTCACAGCGTTCTCCTGTGTATCCTGGCTCACAGAGACATGCGCCACTAATGTGATAGCACTTTCCACCATTCATGCATTGGCACGTCTCTGCACACTGTACTCCAAAAGTTCCAACTGGACATTCATCTTGGCACCTGTGAGTAAGTCAAAAATAAGTACATTTACTTAGTTTTTATTAAAACATTTCAACTGCAAATTCCATTTTGAATAATGCTTTAAAAAAAATTTTTTGTTTACATACACTTCCATCAGCTTCTAATGGTCCACCATAATATTCACTGTTATTCCCTGACCTTCCCATATTCTTGTCCACTGAATGATAAGCCCTGCGGCTGGAACACTAATGTATCTATGCTCTATACAGGGCCTGTCACAATGGTGGTGCTAAATAAATTGTTAGGTTATAGAACTTTGATGTCCTCCAATATTCTCTGTTCAGGTGCAAGTGGTCTGAAGACTAAAAATGGCTCCATGTTTTAAGTATCAAAACATCTGACAATCAAAGTAAGAGTCTTACAATAGCATGGCTTGTAGCCATTTTGACAGTTGAAAATGGCTTGGGGAAGCCCCTCATCCCCCTGTCCTGTAGATCCCGGTAGGATTGAGCTCCCACAGCATTTTGAAAAGTTAAAAAAATCCTCTAAAATGGTGCAGTGTCCCCATGGCAGACTTGGACACAGCATCATCTAGTTTGGCCCTCAGCTCATTTATTTAGATGGACCTCTGGATGGGCAACAAGGTCCTCTGTTTCATTACAGAAGAAAAGACTATTGTTCCGACAACAATATTGGTTGATGAAATTATGGTGCACTTTTTCCTGTGGGTTTATGGTATTTTATGGCATGGAAATTTCTAGTAGCAAAGATATCTGATAGTGGTGGAAGAAATTCCCTAGTGTAACTTCCATAATGAAGGGAAGAAGTTTAATGTGAGATATTACAAAATATTCAATAGCATCCGTTATGGAAAGTTCACATGTGTATAAATCATGGCTTTCCTCTTTAAAATATATGTAGGTGGTGACTTGGGAAGAAAACTGTAGTGTATTCAACTGCATGTATGTAAACTCACACATTCATACACAATGTAAAGCTTCATCCTGGACAAGGATCCTAATCCCTCCGATTCCATTGGTAGCCCAGGAAGAACCATCCAATCACCTACCATCCAGTTCATGAGAGGGAACGCTTGTGATTGGACTTTAGTGTTACAACCTGATTGGTTGTTATTGTATAATAGGGCGTGGCTATATCAGCCGGGAGAGTTTAAAAGAAGAACAAGCTTCAATGCTAAAGCTGTTCTGGCTATTCGAGTTGATCTGTTGGAGTTGTGTTACGAGTTGCTGAATAAATCTGATCTTTTGCTGAATCACTCTCCGACTCCTTTGTTAAGTAGCCGACTTAACAAAAACAAAACCAGAAATGACATGAAGCAATTCTAAATGACTGCTGACTTTGGCAGATGTGTTATGTGCTGTTTAGCCATCTTTTCATTTAATTTTTTTATTCCTTTTTCTTGTTCATTGTAAGGGGGGAAAGACAAATTCCATTTCACTTAAAGTACAAAAGATGAAAATATTATGGTTAGTGCCACAAATGACATGCACCATGTTTTAAAAATTTGCCTTCTCTAGTTGTCTTTTTCAAGGAAATCAAGAAAAGGATATTCTGTGCATACAATTCACCACAGTTTATGGTTACCAAACTCATAATTTTTTTTACATATACCAAGAATATTCTTCCAGATTATTGGGTATCCATGGACCATAGTGGGAGAAACATGTGGTTGAATCACTTATTACAAGAACTGCTACTTACAAGTCATGTTGTCCCTGCTGATGTTTTGTTTGGGGTTTTTTATGGCTTTGAATCTGCATAACTGTCTGAATACATTTTTCTGGATTTTTAAAAGTTATCCTTTCTTTCTTCATTCTCCCTTTTGCTCAGTGGTTCAATTTACAAGAAGTTACATGCATCTTCTTACCGTTCCCCTGTGTAACCTGGACTACAGTGACATTGGCCTGTTGCTGAGTCACATGTCCCTCCATTGTGACACTGGCATTCTTGGGTGCAGTTTCTTCCATAGCGACCTTCTGGACATGGCTGACCACAGACTGTGCCCTGTTTGGAAACAGAATTTCAATATTATCACACATGGGAGTGCAGCTGCAGGGGGGGGGGAATGAAGTGGATTTAATGGAACTCAAGAGATTATTCTTATAGCAAGCAGCATCTTTAAAAATGCCAGGTATTTTTTTTAGCTTGCAACACAATATATATTTTGCCATAAGGGTTAGGCTGTTAATTTGTTGGAATGTTTCCTCCTGTAAAACAATTCCAATATTTTATCTCCAAGCAACAGTAAACATTTAGATACTTAAACCTAGCTCTTCCTTGTTTCTTCACACAAGCAAGTAAAAGAAAACATGTAAGGATCAAAACCTAAACATTTTTTCAAATGATTTTTGATTTATGCTTTATCTTTGTTTTAAAACATTTTTGAGAATGAGACTCTGATCCTTAGTCAGTCATTGTGCTCAAATCTCTTTGCTTAAGTAAAGTACTTACAGAAAATGGTAATTAAAGAATGCCAGCTTTCAATCTAATTTATTGTGGCAGGAGCTAGTAAAAGAATGCCAGCTTTGTGAAAGGGTAGTTCTGAAGGTTAGGGTGTATGTCTGAGAAATGTGGGGTCATAGGCAGTGTTCCCTCTAAGCTGAGTTAGTGTGAGCTAGCTCACAGTTTTCTAACCTCCGGCTCACACATTTTTGCCGTAGCTCCAGAGCAAACTAATTTATGCAGTAGCCAAATTGCTCGCTCACAACTTTAATGCTAGTAGCTCAGAAAGTAGGATTTTTGCTCACAAGACTCCACAGCTCAGAAAGAACATTGGTCATAGGTGGGCTACCAAGCTCGCAGTCAGACTTACATCAGGAAACTGCCTTAGATAGGGTCGCCAGGTCCCCTCGTTGCTCCGGTGGGGGGATTTGAGGGATGTTCCAGGGGTGGGGAGGGACACCCCAAGCCCCATCCCCAAGAGCGATCACCCACCCAGTCACTCCTCTCCCTCCCCTCCTGCCCAATTTAAAGGGCTTCAGCTGATTGGCAGGGACAACGTGGCCTGCCGACCAGCTGGAGGGCCCTTTAAATCTAGCAGGAGGGGAGGGAGAGGGATGGCCAGGTGGGTGGTCACTCTTGGGGGTGGGGCTTCCTCCACCGGTTAGCTGGCCAGGGGTTGATTGAAGCCCCTAGAAGCAGGAGGAACCCCCACCCTGACCTGGGGGCTGGCAACCCTACCCTTAGAAAGTGCTTGTTTGCTCAGAGCTGTGAAATGAAGAAAAAGCTTCCAGTTTCTCTATCACTCCACTTTTACCAGCAGGAAGGGGGGCTTTTGCCTCTTTTCTCTGGCTCCACATGCCCTAGGAATGACTAGAGTTGCCAACCTTCAGGTTAGGCCTGGGGATTCCCAGGAATTACAACTGATCTCCAGATTACAGAGATCAGATCTCCTGGAGAAAATGGCTGCTTTGGAGGGTGGGTTCTATGAAGAAAAAAGATTGGATTTATACCCCGCCCTTCACCACCCAAAGGAGTCTCAGAGTGGCTTACAATTTCCCTTCCCCTCCCCACAACAGACACCCTTGTGAGGTAGGTGGGGCTGAGAGCTCTCTCTCGAGAACTGCCCTTGAGAGAACAGCTCTGAAAGAACTTATGACTGACCCAAGGTCGCACCAGCAGCTGCATGTGGAGGTGTGGGGAATCAAACCCTGTTCTCTCAGATTAGAGTCCACACTCCTAACCACTACACCAAACTGGCATGATAACCCTGATGCAGTCTCTCCCCTCCCCCAACCCCACCCTTCCCAGGGTCTACCCCCAAATCTCTGGGTATTTCCCAACTCAGAACTGGCAACCATTGAAAGGACAGATGGAGCCTGAGAAAAGGAGCAAAAAGCCCCCCTTCACTGCCCTTCCTGGGGGTGGAAATGCAGTGGAAGAGAAACTGTAAGCTTCTTCTTCCTTCACAGCACCAAGCACTTTTTAAGGGGAATTTTACTGATGTACATCTGACGGAGAGTCCAGTTGCATACCAGTGACCCCACACATGTTGGGCATATTGTGTAGTTATTCCCAAAGACTACAGCTCAGGTGGGGACAAGCAGATGAGGAAAGCAAGTCATCAGCTACAGTCCCACAGAGGAGATTTAGGACTTTTCCACCCGAATCCCCTTCTATCCTAAATTCTTGTACACACCCCAAGATATGTTGTAATAATTCCTTTCATATATCAAATATGAAATGGAAGTAAAAAAAGATATTTTTGGTAGATGTGTCCTAATTTTAGAACAATTCTCACCATGTGGAACTCAATCAACAATCATCAGCTGTTCTCTGTGAGTGCAACAGAGCACTGGCTACTGCGAAAGAGTTTGTGGAATGTTTTTCTGTTTAAAAATGTAAAGCTGTAAATGTTTCTGTAACTATCCCAGAGCCATTGGTTTAGAACACAATATAGATCTGATCTATATGTATATGTCTGGGAAAAGTGTAATAGATATTTAAATAATTAAATGCCAAGTTACAGATCTGTTTGACTTGTGGTGCATCTGTGTGGGATAGGAAGTACAAGTTTCCCCCCCAGTTCACCATAAGGTTCTCTAGGCACCTTGGAATCAGAAAATATTGAATAATATATGCTTTTGTAATCATTTGGTTTTGAAAATCCCTTGTGATATAGTACATTTCAGTCTTATTTTTCATTTCATTTCAGTCTTATTTTTTGCTCAATGGCTGGCTGTTATTCTAATTATATTTTCCAAGAGGCATGCAATGGTTGAAATTTATACTATTTTAGAAGGTACATTTACCATCCACCCAGGAGGACAGGCACATTCCCCAGTTACATGGTGACATACTCCTCCATTCTGGCATGGACATCTTTCTTCACACTGTGGCCCATGCTTACCAGGAGGGCAAAGATCCTCACAGCTTTAAAAAAAAAAAGGTTCATGTTAAATATGATGTTTAATTATGAAAACCTCTCTTTTGCTCTGAATATGGCACATAATTTTTCAAACTAAGAATGCAAAACAGTAGGCTATACAAATAAAGACATTTAACGTTTAACAAAACCACTAATCTGTAAAAACAAAGGGAACATCATAACAATTTACTTAAGCTGTGAGCTCTTGTTACTTACAATGGAAAATACATTTACAAAGTTCCTGGGAAGTTAGATCCATGTTAGCATTGAATTACTACAAAACAGATGTTTCTGGTCTAATCCAATTTCTACCTGAGTTTCTGGTTATAAGAAAAAAGTTCAAAATGTAGTAAGTATTTATTGAATTAACTAGACTTTTAATTCTCAATTCCTTATTTGCAGATATTTTGTAGAAACTGCACTCTGCTTTGGGGGGGAAATTAAGATTGCTGGTGTAGGGCAT